GAGTGGCACAGAATGAAGAGGCATCGGACTCAAACAGACCAAGTCAATTGCTATGCCTCGGTTCGCAAGGGCTTCTGTTGTAGAAGCTAAGGACTCGTAAGAGACCTCGAAAACGCCGCTACCGGGGGTGATAACAATGATTGAGGTACCGGTGTGGACCATGTCTCGATCGATATGGTCGAAAGCTAGGTGAGCAGAGGCGAGATGAATGGCCTCTAGGATGTTTCCTCGTAGAGCCGAACTTGGGTGCCCGGCAATGGTGGCCATGTTTGGCTTGGAAGAGCTTTTGATACCACTGCTAGATACAGCATCAATGTCGTCCGGTTTCAAGATTGACACATCTCGCAAAAAGGTCCTGAATTCCCTTTTCAGCTCGTCTAGGATGGTTGTCCAATGGCCGCTTGCCATATCATTTACTACCACACGGTAGAAATCTCGAGTCGGAACTTTGTTCGGCCCAGACTTGCTGTTGAAGTTCCCAGCCCCGAGTTTAGACTGGCTTGAATGGGTGGGCCTATCATATTCGACTCGGGTGAACAGCACAATAGTCACCAAGTGTTTTGCATCCGAACTAGCCCATCTCTTGAAGAGTTCCGGCAGGAAACCATTGATAACCCGACTGAAGAGGATGTCACCAGTCCCCTCCGAGTCAAAGTTCCACATTTCTTTCGACATTTGGATGAAGAGGACATATTTAGCGGACTCGCTTCGGAAAATAGGGATCGTTTTTGGCGAGAAATATCCCGAAAGGCATTTCTTCTCTCGGATAAAGATGTTCTTGACAGTGGCTTTGATGCTTCCCATAAACATGATCTTTTGCCCTTTGTATATGATTTTATCTGATAATTCCGACATGACTAGTCTCCACATGTCCGATCGGACCATGTATTGATCGCGAAAGGCGATGTCGACATGAGATGCCGCACATTGGACTCGATCCACAATCGACAATAGAACCTGTGTTCTATTTTTGAAACCAAAGATGTTGGCAATGTTGTTTGTCACTGAAATTTCTAATTGAGGATTCCGAGCCTTGGTTTCTGGTGGTAAGGCCTTCACCACAAAGAGACAACGGCTCTGCATTGGAGTTTTGAATTTCGAAGTGCTGTCCGCTTGAGACACCGAGTTGAGTTCGGCATGACTCTCGCGACCAGTTTTCGAAGCTGTATCGGGCTTTAAGGTAGAATAGCCAGTATCGCCAGATACCCGCATGGGCAGGATCTCGACAACATCCCCAACTTGCACTTCAGTTTCGCCGAAAGCCGATGGATTCAACAAAATTTCTTCACGTGAAAACGTCTCATCATGCACCCAAAGTGTGCATTGGTGTCGTATCCAGCCTGCCGAGGACAGCCTAACAGTCCGATCATCTGTGGCTTGGTCGTGGTCGTGGTCACGGTTCGAAGTCTCCAGTGAGTGGGTGGAGCTGCTCTCCAAGCTCGCCGCACTCACTTGCCTCAAGTGCGACCGCCGCATGGGCCCGCGCAAAGACATTTCTGTATACTTTTATGCTTGCATTTCAGTGCAATTAGTTAATTCAAATATCAGAATACGGTCATGGGTTCTTGCGAGAGATAACCTTTGCAAAGGGGAGATACGTAGATCACGTGAACAGTCTTAGTCACATGATATTTATGCCTGAGGCAAAAATATGCACCTCAACCTATGCCACATACAATAACAGCTGTTGAATTCCAGGTGTCATGCGAATTGAATCAATTGATATGAACAACAAGTTCTTTTCTATCCCGAGAACCCATTGGGAAATACTAACGAAAACGTTTGAATTCTGGGGAAAACTAGTTCTGAGCCCTAAACCGCATGTTTCTAGAGCTAGTTTTATGTGTAAAGCAAACATGGATGAACGACTGTTCTAGCCGATAGGGTGGCACATATTTTGTTTTCTGAACACCGTAGGCACAAAATATTGAAATATGATTTTATAGCTTGCGCTATGACAGGTATAGCATCTCTCGGGTTGGGCTGGATTCGTAACAATGGTCAGTTGTAGAACCGAATAATCCCTTGAGACCGATAAAGTCAATAAAGAGAAAATCTCGTGTTTATGACCTTTGAAGATCTTTTCATGCCCTTTTGTATCGGCTCCTTTTGCCTTGGGAAATTTGACAAATTCGATTATAATATCTTAAGACGACTGCCTGCTTACATGTCAGCGGAGAGCTTGGGAGGGGTGTCTGGCAGATCAGGCCAAAACACAGGATGGTTAACTAACAGATCGTTAGTACATAGGTTTTTTTTAACCTTGTCTCCTCCAATACAACCCTCTTCCTTCTCTGGCCTCTCGCCTTGTAGGCTCAACATGACATCATCATAATCTGGTCAAGTGGGCAGCATCGAACAGACAGAAGTGACAGAATCAGAAGAAGATCATTGGAAACGAGAAATTGCAGTGAGCGTCGCATATACTAAGTAGTATATAGTAGCACATGTCAGTAGCAAAAAGTATGATTGCGTCGGGCACGGTGCAGGTTGTGATTACTGTAAGTGCGGCTGAACCCACCGATTATAGACTTATATGCTATACCTTCTGGAATCGGCAATTGTACCTCAAATCAAGTCATTGATGTTATAATCACATACTCACGCATTCGAAACCCCACTTGGTGCCAGCTTGACCAAAGAGGCGAAATCTAAGACCCCTAATCTCCTTTTTTTTTTTGGTGCTGGGCATGGCTCTCCGTCTGCATCAAAGAGGAATGGAAAAATTGTCTTGCGAGTTCGGGTGTAGTTGGTCGTGATTCCCTTGAGCAGGGTAAGACATGGCTTGATTTCCGCAATCCACAGTATTTTCCATGGCACGATTGGCACGATTGATAGGCTGAGATCGAAAAATCGAATTTTCCCTGAATCACAGGGGCGGAGAAGCTGCCCAGGCGATGATGTTAGTCTCTTCGATAGGACCCTAATTGGTTCGTTTGCCATTCGGAGTTGGTTTCCGGGTTGCCCCCCGAGTCTTTGTTTATCGCCTCCACCTAATTTGAACGACACCTCTTTGTTACCCCTAGCACAAAGCTTGGAGGGGGCTTTTTTTTCCAATTTGTCTCTAGGATCTCTCTAGAAGAGTGACTCTGAACGATGGCCAATGGATTTGCACGTGTTGCACCCACAAGAAAAGCAAAAGGAACGGGCGCATTGCTTCCAACCGATGCATTGTCACAGGGACTGACAGCACCGTGAAACCCTGGAGATCAAAGCCAAGCGCCTCGAAATTAACCGAAATAACGAGGCGCGATTAAAAATTAATCACGAAAGCTTTCTCATGGAAGTGAGAAACCCCTTTTTCGTTCTGTTTTGATGTCGTTAGTCATGATGATGATGGCCACTTTCTTGCTCAGAGCCCTCTCGGTGTAATCTAGTCAGGTGGTGGCCAACCTTGGTTCGACAGTGTTGCAGAATCGCTCACACTTTCAACATACCTCCAAAATGCCCACGGGACTTGGGGTCACTCTCATAGCCTCGTGGCTCGTCAAAACCGTATAGTGCAGTCCCATTCACCACTTTATACCAAGGTTCATATCACTATCACATAACGGCACTTCTTCCCAGACTCACAGTATGGAGATCAAAGACCGATTACTTCGTTCACGTTTGTGTCATCTGTCTTGCCTGGTTTAAATGCTCATTGCAGAGTTTCGGTTCTTAAAATGCCTCTCAGATCACAGGCGGTGTTAGCAATGCCGCTTATCATGCATTGCTAGAAACTTGAGCATTGGAGCTAGAAAAAGATCATTGATGAGCATTGTCCAACTATGAAGAGGTCCGGTCCTTTGGGCCTGTACCATAATTTTGCCACCAGGGTTGGCATCACCATTGATGACGCATAGGACCAGTTTCCTCTGCTCCTCCCTCGAAGGTCTATCGTGTACTTGGATTGCTATCTTGGCTGCAATGCTGCAGACATCCGACTGCTGATTGTCCACCGCAGGATCGCGCAATCACACACGACCCGTCGACTCGCTGGTATACAAGAGATCCGAAAATCCAAGAAAAGTCACTTCCATCAATACGGCCATGCTTATTTGTCGTCTTGTTTGCCTCTGGGGTATGGATGAGCGTCCCGAAATTACTGGGTCTTCTGTTTTGCTGGCGAACGAGTACCATGCCACCGAAACCGAGGCCAACCGGAAGGGCAAGAAAACGATTTGATCGAGAGAAAAGCATGTTTACCTAGTCATGCCTTGTTACAATCTTCAGTTTTTCCGGGGTCTGAAAGCACAGCAACGACACTCTTGTAAACTTTCCCAAGAGCCTGAAAGGGAGAGGAAGTCCGATGGATAGTCCTGCTGCGTGTGGTGTCTGGTTCTGGTCACCAAAACAATGTTGGCTCATGAAATGGATTCATGTATCCCGTCAGGTCCAAGAACAAAGACGGTGGTTTGAATGCCAAGCTATCATCGATACTTAGAATACGGGTTATTCTCGGACCGAAAGAGGGTGATACGACTTGGAACGTCCCACGTTACGACTGACCTGTCTCTAGTACAGTCTCTCGTGGCATATCAGCGAGCAGGTTTCATATGGAAATCCTATCCTGGATGCTTCAAACGTAAGGGAAGCCCCGAGAGAAAGGCTTGTACAGACCGCATACGCTAATGCTCCCGCGTTATAGCATATCTATATTCATAGGAAGGGTTTGCAATATCCATCTTCATGTGTTCAAAAATACCAAAGTGCAAAGCGAAGCGCTTATTGGCTTTAGCGCTGCTCTTAGTGGCGACTTGGCAAAGACCTCCACATACTCGAGAGCCCCATTTCGGTTGAAACCCCACTTGTGAATACCCACAGTAGGGGGGGGGTCTACTACTGTGTATTTTTCTGACTTTTCTCTTTTATATTAAACTCTTGTGCAAGGGGGATGATTCTTCCTTGCTTCTTCCAGTGTGGCTTATGAGTCGATGTTCCGCTGGCATCTCGCGTTGCCTCTGGCGAAAAACCCTTCCTATGATTAAATCCGTTCGAAGATTCTATCTGACAACGATATGCCATATTCCGAATATCCGAACGTGGAAAATGAAATCAATCATGACTGGGCCGTGCCTGGATACCCACAGCCTTCTCCTTTCGAGTTCATTACCGAAACTATCCCTGCCCATGATAGCCGTGATATCCGTGACGCCCGTGATTATCCTTCAAGCGACCGCGTGAATGCTAAGGTGGCTATTCCCCGGAACGCACAACCCAGTAATTTGACCAGCAGTGGTCGAGTCAGTCGGGCTTGTGAAAATTGCCGTGAACAAAAGGCCAAATGTAGTGGCCATCGCCCAAACTGTCATCGATGCCTCGATGCCGGTGTCCCGTGCTCGTATGGCTATCGGAAAAAGGAGAAGATGGTGAAGTTGGTAACCTTTTCGCTTAGTATACTTTTTCTCTAACAGGTAATAGGCAGCTGAACGATCTAACCACACGGGTTGAAACCTTTGATGCTTTGCTCCGCGGTCTTTATCCTAAGCTGGATGCCTCGTCGGCCCAACAGGTCGATCAAACATTGAGGGAATTAAATGCACGCACTCCGCTCACCCAAGTCAATCCCTCTACCCCTATCCCTGCCTTATCCACCAACCCATCAAGCCACATCAACCGATCATTGCCTTCTTCCCGTGCGGATGCTAGTCCTATATCATTTCCCTCGGGGACTGTAGACTACACCGAAGAGGACTTCGACCGTGATGAGAAAGTACAGGCGACGGGATTTGTGGGCGAACATTCGGAGATGGCATGGTTATACAGACTCAAGCGCCACCTTGACCATGACAGTTTGAAAGGAACCAAAGAGACCATCGAACGCGCATCGATCTCTTCCGTGAACTATTTCCAAGATGACTCGGAAATTTTGTTTTTGGACGATATCGACCTCGCACGCCGGCCTCCACAACACATCGCTAACAAGCTCGTTGAGACCTACTTTCACGTTGTCCATCCTACTTTTCCGATTATTGGAAAAGCAATATTTCTAAACCAGTACCGATCCTTCTATGCGAATCCGAACGTGCGACCTGGGAAACGATGGATTATAGTGCTGAACCTGGTGTTTGCCATTGCGACCAGACATTCTTTCCTTGCCGACCAACCCCAACCGAATTGCGATGACCATCAGAATTGTTTCGCACGGGCATGGAAGCTGAATTTAAGTAGCGTGTTGCTCCATCATCCCGACTTGCAACAGGCACAGGTGGAGGGCTTGGCTGCTTTTTACCTCTTATCGGTTGGCCAAGTTAACAGGTCGGTCTTTCTGTTTCATCGCTTATCTATTTCTTCGTGATTTATATCTGACCTATCGGACTTCTTCATTTAGGTCGTGGAGACTCATTGGAATTGCAATTCGATCGGCGGTGACCATAGGTCTCAACATTCGAAGCGAGAACGAGAGCATCACCCACTTTTCGAAAGAACTTCGATATCGAGTTTGGTGGGTGCTGTTCATGTTGGATATTGTGCTATGTGAGATGACAGGCCGTCCACCTAGCACGGGGGATATCTTTTGCTCCACGCCACTTCCTGTGCCCTTCGCAGAGAAGAATTTCTGGAATAAGCGTGTTGCGCAAGTTATCACCGACCAAAGGACTCGAAATGCCTTTTTCGCCTCTTTAATTTCCGATACCACGGCAGATTTACTAAAAGTGAATACGACTCTAAATATATCGGAACAACATGGATCGAGCAAGGGGAAACAAGAAAGAGCCAGTCAGACGGGGGCAGAGAATCTGACACCCAAGTCCTCTCTGTACTTTCTGTACGCAGTAGACCTAGCTCATCTCTTACGGGAGGCTATTAATACCCTATATGCTCCTAGAGCAATACGGCAGTCATGGCATGATATCGAAACCGCTATTCATACGCTAAACAACCATGCTGATAACTGGCTCTGTCGTCTCCCGGCGGAGTTTAATTTCACAACGCTAGACACAACTCATCAATTTATACAGCAGCGTGCTGGTCTTGCTTTCCGATTCTACGCCACCAAGCTGATAATCTTGCAACCCTGTATCCGCCGTGTATCCCAACAGTCACCTGACACAAGCACCCTGGGAACAGTGTGTGATCAGATGGCAGCCTTGTGCGTTCAGATGGCCGGTAAAATGCTCGAAATGTTGCCCGAGGAGCCAGACTCGACTTGGCTGTATGGCGTCGGTCCATGGTGGTGCATCCTGCACAATATCATGCAGTCGACTACCATTCTCCTCACCGAGCTCCTCACTCGCACTTATGTGGGCACCGCCAAGGCTGTTGATATCACTAGGAAGATCAACAAAGCAACTCGCTTCTTGAAAGAGATGTCGGTCAAAGACCTTTCTTCCAAGCGAGCCTGGCTTGTATGCCTGGACCTTCTTTCACGACATGGATCGAAGTTTAGGTTCGATGTTAACGCCGAAATCTAACACTCGCATTCTTCAACGCGTCTCATGTCTCATGTAGTTATGGAAGTTTGATTTATACCCTGACTTGATCGGTGGGAGAAGTGGTCTTGAGCGATGCATTTGCATTTGCCTGCTGCTTTTAATGACATATACGATGCAACATATTTTGTCCATCACGCGTCCCTTGTTATGCGGAAATGCTTGTTCATCTGACGTCTCAATTATGATTTCGTTTTATCTTCATCAATCGCTAAGTTGGCTGTGTCTTATTATAACAGTCTTCTGTCTTGTCATCGTATTGTGCCTTGCATTTGCTCACAAGAATACCATCTTTAAGCATTAGACTGTGGAGTCGCTCAGCTCAGAGCAGACCAACCAGGTCTAGAACGTGCATATCATTATCGATATCTCATTTGCCGTGGCTAATACCGGTCAAAACTCATGGCATGTATATAGATTTTCTGCCTCGTTAAAGAACGTATCAACAGGGTGCAACAGCCCAAGGTCGATATCTGACTGTGCCAGGAAATCTTGCATGGTCGGCTCTAGAAACGCCATTTCAGTCGTGTATCCGCTGACAGTATCCCTCAAGGGATAGGTATATGCATCGATGCCATGGCTGTGGACAGGCTGGGTGGTGGAAGAATCAAGGATATCATGTGATGTGGGTATTAACGATGGTGGAGGTATAGATGCGGATACCGATGTCGATGTGGGTTGGTTCAGCGGCAAGGCGTTCAAAAAAGGAGTAGTGGCCGTTGCCAAATCAGACGAAGGGCCGGACAAAGCTAGTACGCCAACGCCAGAGTGAGCATTACCACTAGCATTAGCGTTGGTATTAGGAGCCACTGCACCACCCGTAGCTAAATCAGCACTCCCCTCACCCCGCCTCCCTCCCCGATACGCAGCCAAACAAACCTTCACCTGCTCGAGATTATGGTAGAATTCCGCCGCAGCCAGATTCCCATTCTCGGTCATGGAGCGTAGTAGGTCTAGCGCGGAGTCGAATCCGGTCATATCAGTTGGACTGCCGATCGGGACAAAGCTGGACATTGCCAAGATCAACGCGGAGGAAAAGAGGTAGTGGGCGTGGAAATAGCCGAAGGTCGGCATGGACCCGTTGATCCACCGTGTTAGGATCATGGAATGGGAGTGCCGTGCTGCATGGATACATGCTTCGCTTAGAGTCAGAACGGGCTGAGAAACGGATACCTCTTCGCCCTCGCTTTCGGCCCCGGCCCCGGTCCCACCGGTATTGTTGGTGGTATTGGGGCGGCGTTTGCTTTTTTTGCTTAGTGTCATTAGGAGGTGCAGTAGCGTTGGGCGCGTAGTTAGGATCACGCATTGGTTGAAGGACAGATGGAGGGAGACGATGGGTTTCTTGCTCGATTCCAGGTCTTCCATATTCAGCCTGAGGGATTCGGGGAGTGTTTCTACCCAATATTTCAGGGCTTTGAGAATTTTCTGAACGCGCTGTAGGAAGGTTTCTTGGTACTTTCGCCGGCTGTAAAGTTTGGTGATTGTCTCGCCGACTATGCGTGCCAGCTTGATGTTGGCAGTCATGTAGTCTGAGTCGGAGAGTTCTTCTTCGTGGCGCGAGCGCGGGGAGATAGTCGAGGGCATATCGACATGGATATCCTCATCGAGGATTTGCATTGGGAGACCCATTTTGGATCCCCACATGCGGTCGAAGATATAGATTGTCCACCATATTTGGATGCGGTGTTGGCGCTCCACTGGGTCGATGATCTGTGATTCTGGGATATTGTGGTTCAACCCAATGGTCAAACTCATCCGCATGGCGTTCCCTATCAGGACGTACGCAGAATGACGCCGGTTGAGATAGTATGAAAAAAGCGACTTGGAAGATGGTAAGTAACCTGATGTCAAACAGTAGTACATGCCGAGCCACGTACCAACAATAGAAGGGTTTCCAAGTGTGTAATACTGGTTCTTTCCGGCAGGATTTGGACCAACGCCATTGATCGAGCAAAGTACGATGTGCCTGGTACCCTGGAGCCAGAATTGGGCTCAGATCGGATTGAATACGCCTGTCCGAAGGCGAACAGAGCAAAGAATTTACATTTGTTAGCCGCGGAGTCAAAGTCTTGTGTCTGGTAGATCTCTTCCAGTTTATCTAACGTAGACTTGCGTATCATGAGGTGGTACAGGTGCCCAATCTGGTGGATTGCTATCCGGACTAACAATCGAGCATGGTGGAGACTCGGCCACTGTATATCGGATTCGTTCGCTGCGGCGATTGTCTCTTCGCGCTCATACTGTGTTCGGGGAATATGTGGCATTGCACTATTCCCCGACAAGAAACGCCGAAACCGTGTTGCGAACGCTGAACATGCTGCCTCGCCAATGTAGATCGGTGGCGAAGAGGGATCATACCGGTGGAACCAGGCTCGATCTCCAATTAATGGATTTTGAATTCCTGTTCCATCAGGGGCATCTGCTGTCCGGGAAGGGCCACTGTTATACATCTCAGCATGTTGCGGTCATCTTTAGAAAGTCAAGGGGTGCCTACCTCTGGGCTGCATCGTTTGTCTCGGTAACTTGAGCCGAGGTGATCGATCGTTCCTTGAGCCGCTGATTCTCGGCGAGGATCTGATCTAAATAGCTGATTGTAGAAGACTGTTTTAGCTTTGGCCTGACACGTGTAAAAGACAAGCTTTTGAAAGGCTTGGTCTAATAATAGGAAGCGGCTTGACTGCATACTTCTCGCTAACTTTCACCTGGCGATCCCGAGTAGCATAGGTACATTCATCAGCGAGTCCGACAGTGCAACATTTGCTGCACGGCTGATCTCCGGAACATTTGGTTTTATGCGAGTGGCATCTTCGACAGCTGTTGATGTCATATGTCAGTGCTCGGTGACTTCGGCGTGAGGCATGTGCAGGTGGAATACACACGCAACAAATTTCTTTTTTTGGGACCCACGGCCTTCCAGCTCTTGCTCTTCTGTAAGAGCACGTCTTTTTCGCGCCATCTGATAATTCCCCCTCTTCTAGTTATTCTCGGGCTTTTCAAATTGTGCAAAAAAAGAAAATCGCCGGATGCGGTCGGAGATTTGAAGTTCTTTGCCGAGAATTCGGCAATTTTGGGCTTTGGCCGAGGTAGGGCTGACTAATCAATGTTCTGGTGCCCACCCGACAACAACCTTGAAAGCCCAACCTTGAAAGTCTGCCCAGGCGAGCCTAATATGTTGTATACCTACATAAGCGAGAACGAAGAAAGTGTATTTGAATGTCTTGAAACTTCTTTTTCGGGTCTCTATATGGTTAAATCTACGTATTATATTTCAGGAAATCATTGAGCCATGCCTGTCTGTCGCGATCTATATAAACCAACTCTATCATGCAGGCAGTTCATATCGCCTAGTATGCAAAAACATAAATGCAAGTGGGGAAAAGGAATCATTTTGTTATGATCAAGACTTCACATCGAGGCTGAACTTCCTTTCAGACCATCGCTGCATGTCAATGCCCCATTTTGTGATAGCAAGCACAAGGAAGCCACCTATTATAGCAAAGAATACACCTGAATAAATGGTTAGATATGTCGCAGCTATAATCTCATTCAGAGAACTCACAGATTGTAAATGTCCATCCTACTCCGATAGCGCTGATTAACGGCTCAACGACCGCCGTTGCTCCGGCAGCAAAGATATACTGCACTACGTACTTTGCACTGATAACCTCCGAGCGAACATGCGGAATAGCCTCTGCGAGATATATGGTTAGCTCGGAATACTTATATATATATATTAGATAACACTCACCAGCCGTATAAGTATTCAGTCCATTGAAGGAACCCATAAGCCCTACGCCCGCAAAGAAAGCGGCGATAATTGGCACAACCATACCACCCACTTCTTCCTCTAAGGTCCAGCCGTAGATTAATGTTGCAACCGGGAGGACCCCAAAGAGGGTGGCAATACCACTGTTCAGTCGGTCCTGAGGCAGGCGCACCCCGTTTCGTTTGATAATCCATTTTTTCACGGCGTGGTCGGACAGCTTGCCACCGACCACACTACCCACCAGAAAACCCATTCCCGGGGAGAGGTAGAATAGGCCGCTGATGAGGGGAGACGTCAGGTTGAAACGTGGATTGAAAATTGAGCGGGCTGATGTGAGAATTGTGTATTGGAACGTGGCAAGGAGACCACACGTGAGGCACTGTTGCTTGTTAGTCAATCACTGGAAAAGGTATAATCCTAGCACTGGAAGACGATGCTTACTGCAAAAAAGACATTGGGATACACGAAGTGACGGAAGACGAGCATTGGGTTGAACATGCCCATAATAGTGCAAAACTTTAATGGTTTCTCGGATTCCCGTTTCTTTTCCTGGATACTTGGCACAAAGAGAAGAGACAAGATGAGGCCGAGTAAAGTCATCGCGAATTGAAGCCAATAGATAATGCGCCACTGAGCAAATGTGACGATAATGCCGCCGATACAGGGTCCTAATTAACCAATTAGCGACTTAGATCCGACGACACTCATAGAGATAGCGATAGTTTAAACATACCAATTGCAGGCCCACTGACAGATCCAACCATAAAGCAGCCGACAGCTGTTCCACGCACAGTCTACCGACCCCCGTCAGTAACCAGCAGACAATCGAAATAAAATTAACATACCGGTTCAAAGATGTCTGCAAGAATAGTCTGCCCAGCAACCATGAAGAAGGTACCTGTAAAGCCTCCCAAAATGCGCATTGCGATAAACATATGCAAATTGAACGCCGCGGCGGTACCGGCCGAGCATGCACAAAGGACAAGGATAGCTGCATTATAGGCATTGCGACGCCCGAATAGGCTGGTGATAGGACCCCAAATAAAAGACGAAAAGCCCATAGCAATTAGAACACCGGCGTTTGTAACATTGAGAATCTCCGATGTAGTAGAAAACTCGGTAGCAATCTCCGGGGTTGCGGGTAATAGTGAAGTACTAGAGAATGTGACAGCTAGTGTCATCCAGCTAACGACAAAAAGGATGAGGCATTTGCGCCATGTCGGGATGCCATAGGCGTTTGAGGCCTGAGGTTTTAGGGCCAGGTCGTCTTCTGATTCCGAGTCGTGGGGAGAATTGACCTGCGGGGTTGGTTTTTGGGACTCAAGGTCTGGTCTGAATTCCATGATTGGGTGTTGAGGGGGATTAGATGGTTATATAGCGGATGTAAGTGGTTGATTGATGATTTCCTCATATCTAAATTAGTGAAGTGATGTACACAGAAAATAATCTAAAAGGATTCGGTGGACATTTTGTATGAAAAAACCCCTCGGCGACTGTCGCCGAAGCCTGGGTTTTTCACGCGTGGAGCTTTTTCCTCCGATGTGGATCGGATAGGGCAATCGGCATCGGTGGCCGACATCTGCATTTTGCGTATGAAGATGTGAGTCACGTCAAAATGATCAAGGATAACGGGATAACGGGATGACAGGGGCAATGCCAATGGTCGTGACCGTGTGAGGTTGAAGTTCATGTGCCATTTCTGGGTTTGATACCTGAAATATCAGGCGTCAATTTTTCCTCTGTCCACCTCAGCACCGATTCGACAACACATAAATTCAAGATGGTCTATTCGGTACAATTGCTCACAGTTTGCTCTAGGTGCAGAATATGTCGAGGATGTTTACTGTGCTTTGTAGACCTGCTCCATATTACGCACCAAACAGCCCACAACTGGCCCCTGGGCCAAGCTGACGCGTCCCCACGCAAGCTTTTCCCTGCTCGTACAAGGAGACCGGCGGAGAGCTTGGCAAAATTAAAGCTTGCAATCTAGCCCGCCAAGATATCTTGTGTCGCAGGGCTGTAAAAAAAAGGGGAATCAACGCAACAACGCAAGGGATAGCGAAAGACATACCCCAGCCCTTGGCAGAGGCACTTGATCACTAGACACAATCCGACGACATAATTATAAGTCATCTATGGACCACAAAGAAGCAAAAGATGCCGAAGCATCCCCTTCCATTTTATCCCCAGTGGAAAAGAGCCATACAGCTCACCTTGTCTTGGTCCCCCGGCCTAGTACTGACCCCCGGGACCCTCTGGTATGGCAGCAGACCTTCGAAAATCATTGTCATTGAAACCGAACTGATGAAATCCTTCTAGAAGTGGCCTATCACTCGCAAATATGTATTACTGGCCGTGTTATGCCTTGCATCTTTCTCCGGCGCTATCGCGCCTTTATCGGGACAGCTTAATCTGGCTGATCAGGAGAAACTGTACAACAAGACGAAGCTGGAAGAGTCCTATGCGGTAAGTCTACAACTTCACTTTCTTCGAGACTTTGAATTCTGCACGGTTATCAAATCGAGTATCACCCATCTAATGTCCCCTAGAATTCAGCCGCCCTGGCTGGCATGGCCGCGGGCCCATTTTTCTTTGCCCCGATATCTCACATACTCGGTCGCAGCTCCGTAATCTTCTGGTGTGTGCTATTTACGTTAGTATGCCAGATCTGGGGCGCCGTCATGACCGACCCTGGTAACTATATTGCATACGTGATCTCCCGGCTGTTTGCAGGCTTCTTCGGTGCCGTGCCTACAGTGCTTGGCCCTCGCATCGTGACCGATATGTTTTTCTTGCATCAGCGTGGCCGCGCTTTTACTGCTCTGCATATGGCGTTTTTATTCGGAACTATTGCCGGTCCGACATTCTCGGGGTTTGTTTCTGCGCACTCTTTTTTTCCCGTTGAGTTCTGGTGGACGGTCGGTCTACTGGGGTTCACGCTTATCTGTTGTTTCTGTTTCCTCGAGGAAACTGGATTCGATCGTGAATGCTTTGAAAGGAACCCGGATGTTCCAGCTGGAATTCTGGCTAACAGACTCGCTACTTTCTTCTTCGGACAGAGGGTTGTCTTGCCGACTACCTGGAAAGAAACGGTATGTACAGGGAAAGCCCGATGCTCTATGCCATGTCATGAGAACTAAGTTCGATCTAACATCAGTCGAACAGGCCAAAGTCGGAATCACCCCCTTTTTAATTGGAATGTGCCCTGTGACAATCATCATGGGAATATTCACACTAATCTCCTTTGGATTTTACGTGGGCGTCAACGCACTCACGCCGGTATGGCTCCAGAAACCCATCTCCGAAGGTGGCTACGGGTTCTCATTGGAGCAAAATGCGGCATTCACATTCTGCCATTGGATTGGCATCATCGTCGTCCAATTCTACGGTCACTATTTGAACGACCGGCTGCCGCTGGCACTGGCACGACGGTACAACGGCGGTGTCTGGAAGCCCGAGTATCGACTGCATGTCCTATGGCTTCCTAGCCTTGTGATCAACCCTATTGGCCTAGGGATCTTTGGTGCCGCTTTGCAATATCATTTGCACTATATGGTTCTCGCGCTGGCTGTTTTTATTGTGACTGTTGGGTCGCTGGCCAGTGTTCCTGTCACAGTGAATTATGTTGTCGAGTGCTTTACCCGGTATCCAGCTGAGGCAGGTATTGTTATTGGTGCTTATCGCATTGTCTATGGATTAACAATTAGTTTCTATATCAATCCTTGGGTTGAGGCTGTTGATGTTGGCTGGGTTTATGGTATGATGGCCTTCTTTGCGGTGTTCTCCTACATGTTTGTTATGTTGCTCATGTGGAAGGGACATGCTATTCGCAATATTCAATTTTCGAGCCTCGGATCTAGCGAGGAGGGCGAACAGTTGGTAGGTAAATAGCTGAACTCCTAGGTGGGCTGGGGACTCGGAAACGGGCCATTATGCTTCGCTTCGTGGTGCGATTGTTGATTCGCCATGGCACATCTAATCAAAAACCTATACGCAAAATTCAGAGTCTTGCAAATATACTACTCAAATCAAAGCCGCTGGTAGAAAGTATCTCGAATGAATGGCTATAGAGGAGAGAAAGATGTATCTGACTAGAAGATAGGACATAGGGAGCAAACAGGCAGATATTAGACAACAATGCCTCCATCACAGGACATCGAAATGAGAAACTGAGACTGTAAGATCAAATAATTGCAAGTCACCTCTCACCTCTCTTTTTTCTCTTTCTCTCTTTCTCTCTTCCATCTCTTCCATCTCTTCCATCCACCATGTTGTGACAGTGCGACAGCACCTCCTCCTCAACAGAGTACCTTTGTTGTCTGCTTATTCTACCACAATATGGAAGTCATCAAAGAAGTCTTTGCAAAATGCAAGGCGAAAAACCGCGTTGCCTTGATCACCTACGTGACAGCTGGCTACCCCACCGTTAGCGAAACACCGGACATCATGACGTCCATGCAAGCCGGAGGTGCAGGTATGTGTTGTTTACTCCTGTCTCTTTTGTGAGACATGTACTATCCCATATTCAACATCAGCTAATTATAACCCGTGATCAGACATCATCGAACTTGGAATTCCCTTCGCCGATCACCCCATGACTGAAAGCCCAACTATCCAGCAGGCCAATTCCAAGACCCTCGAGAACGGCGTTCAACTCTCACACATCCTGCAGATGGTCAAGTCAGCCCGTAAACAAGGTCTGGCTGTCCCCGTGCTGCTGGTGGGGTACTACAACCCCGTGCGTGAATATCCGTACGGAGAGGATAAGCTACTTCGAGACTGCAAGGCTGCTGGTGTAGACGGGCTCATCATTGTCGATCTTCCTCTCGAGGACGCGGTGCGGTTCCGTGATCTGTGCAAATCCAAAGGGTCCGTATGAACCCATCTTTCAAGCTTACATTTGCATTCGGCTAATCCAGATCCCAGACTATCGTACATACCCCTCGTTGCTCTGTCTACTCAGAATGCTCGTATGGAGATGCTTTGAAATATCGCTGACTCATTCATTTGTATTATATCTAGGATGGGAGTTAGCGGAACTCATGAGAAACCGTACGGATGTGCGGGAGATCTGCTCCATCGTGTGCATGATTTCACTGGGAACTCAGTCTCAGTAGCTGTTGGATCTGGTATCAACACCCGACAGGATTTCATTGATATTGCTCGTGTCGCTGAAGGAGTCGTCATCGGCTGCCCAATAATCTACTTACTGGGAAACCCGGCTCCTGGAACTGGTGCTCGGAAGGTCAAGGAGTATTGTCTTCGAGTTGCTGGACGTACTGAGCATCAAATTGTCATACCAGAAAGAAGAAAGCAAGCTAACCAACCCATCTCTTCTACTACCGTCTACCTTTCCCATGACGGGGCAGGTGATACACCGGAAGACACTGACGTGGCCACCGGTCTCGGAGATTTAGAAACTAGCTTCGAAATCTTCAGCGGTCAATACATCCCGGGATCCCTTAAGGAAGGCCTCGCCGAGCTAGAAAACGGCTTCCAGGCAGCAAACGCAGACCCAGACTTCTGGGCCGAAGTCAACTCCTACGCAGCATACACCAACCGACCCTCCCCCCTCCACCTAGCCCCACGCCTATCAGCGTACGCAGGCGGAGCACGCATCTGGTTGAAACGCGAAGACATGAACCACACAGGCAGTCACAAGATCAACAACGTGCTAGGCCAAATCATCCTCGCGCGACGACTCGGCAAAACCTCCATAATCGCCGAAACAGGCGTTGGCCAACACGGCGTTGCGACAGCAACTCTATGCGCGCAATTCGGCATGAAATGCACCATTTTTATGGGCTCCGAGGACTTCGAACGCGAGGCTTTGACCGTCATGCACATTCGTATCCTCGGTGCAGTGGTTGTCCCGGTTGATGCCGAGCACAGTGGCGGAAAGGGTACTGTCCGCGACGCTATCAATGAGGCTTTCCGCGTCTGGGAGACGGAGCTGCAGACTACGCATTTTATTATCGGCTCGGCGTTCGGCCCGCATCCGTATCCGAATATTGTGCGCACGTTCCAGACTATTATTGGCATGGAGACTCGAGCTCAGTTCGGCGCGATTAATGATGGTAGACTTCCTGATGCGGTTGTTGCTTGTGTTGGTGGTGGGTCGAATGCTGTTGGTCTGTTCTACCCGTTCCTTGATGATTCGTCTGTTGCTCTTGTTGGCGTTCAGGGGCGTGGTGGGTGCATGGCCGGTCCGAGTGATGAGTCTATTGGTATCGTGCACGGGTTGCCAACTGATTTGTCTTGGAACGAGGATGGGGAGAATGGCAAAACACATTTTGTTTCTGCTGGGCTTGATTATCCTGGTATTGGACCTGAGTTGGCGGGCTGGAAGGAATCTGGTCGGGCTACTATTGCTTCGACAACTGATGCGGAGGTCCTGATGGCTTTTTCGCAGCTCAGCCAGCTTGAGGGAGTTATCCCTGCGCTTGAGAGTTCGCATGCTGTTGCTGCTGCTGTGCGTTCTGCGAAGGAGTTGGGGCCTGGGCACGATGTTGTTGTTTGCGTTAGCGGACGTGGAGACAAGGATGCGGAGACTGTGGCTCATATTATGTCTACTCTCAGAGTTGATGATGTCTAAAGATTTCTTTTGACTAGGTGAAACAACAGCATTGTGAATTGAAGTCTAAATTGTGAGGTCATTTGACCTTGCCCGGTTGACGTTAAATCGGCTGTTGAAAATAGCTATCCTGTCCGATAGAAAATGAAAAACTCTTGAGAATCGTGAGAAGACCAGCCGTTGTAATAGTGGATGGAAATACTTCTGGGTTCAGTACAAAGATCATTTCTTCCCAGCCTCTGATCTTATGAAAGCCGATTGACATGTTTAGCGGGAGAATGACACCTTAGCACCTACATAAATACTAATTGGTTAATTATTGAACTGATAATGTAAGGTGGTTCGCTTCCGCGCTGGCTAGGGACCTCTAGCCACCATTTGGGCTCTGAACGCCATGAAAACTCTGGGATGAAACGAAAAATTTACAAATTTCTTCTGTTGATATTTCTCAGGATAAGGAGAGAAACCCTGGAAACTCCCTAGTAATCTAGCTCAATGAGTACAGTGCCTTGGTTCTCTAAACCTCTAACAATGCGGGCTGTAGTGGGATGGTGACCTCTCGTTGTCGTTCTCACATTGTCATTTGGCCATACCAGTGTCGATCAGTTCGGAAACTAGAGTATAGAAAGCCGTCATTTGGTTACCATAAAAGGGAAGTATAAGAAGCGTATACATCCATCGTTTGTAGCTTACAGATCTCTTAAGGCCCAGCGAGAGAGTATAACCCACTCAACCAACACGAATATGGGCATTGTGCATATCAGTCCTTGTCGCATGTTGCTCATTTTGTCGACATCTGCTATGTTGCCAGATGGTTGAAGCTTGGCCTACTCTAGAATGGCCTGGCAAAATTCATATGTTTCGTAAACCGCTTCTGAACACCTTAATGTAAGTGGGTGGAAATTAGAGATAGAAAAGAAGACACCTATTGTACCTTTGGTGCCTTTTTTTGCCATTAGTTAAAACTAGATTTGGATCAGCTGGATAGATTGAGGCTCACATCCAATACCTGTTTCCATATCAGCTGGAATGCCTTGAGTAGAGGCTCTTCGGGCTCTTCCAGACCCCCTTCCATGACAGAGATTTGGCCTTCAATCATTCTTTGGGCCATGACTGGATCATTTTTCAATGTGCCATTATCAAAGGCTATTGACTTGTCAGTCACTCGTCGATTAGATATATTATAGATTATTGGTCTTAACCATCATCAAAAGGAAATGTATGCAGATGCAGAGTCAGCACATGCTGGAGTCAAGTATCCAGGCCGCAAAAAAGGAAGATTGTATGGCACCTTCCATATATAGTAGCTTAATAAAGACCTTAAACATGGATATACTCATACTCTTGCTACGGTATTCGTCGGAGGACATTTCCCACTGCATGCTGTCGCGCCACCCTGCTTAGGCGAGATGAAGTAAAGTTTAGAGGAAGATGCAAAAGAATTCACATTAGGATCATCCCTTGAAAGCAAAGACGAGTGAGTTATGGCAGGGAAATATTGGGGAATTATTTTGTTCAAAGGACACATAGCCAGGCTGCAATTTAAATAATTTCAAGGTTGACCCTAAGTACTCTAAACATTAGCGACAATAATCGCAAAGATGGTTCAACGCTATAATCAACCATTTGAATGACATTACCACAGAAAGGCCTCTAACTCTTTTCATTTACTCTTGCATTCTGGCCAATGATTGGGCTTGATTCAATACAGATCGGCGTTTATCTCGTCTCCGCAAAAATTCAATATATACAAGATCATGTAATATATATGGCTTTACATTCAGGTCTGTTGAAACTCCAACAAATCACCAAAGTCTCCAACAATGAATTCATTTTCGAGCTAGACAAGTCATTCGCTTCGATAGCCTCAGATGTACTTACTAAACACTTCTATGGCATCAAATATGATCCTGGAGACAATCGCGAGATACAGGTGAAATATATTGTAGCTACACTGGTGTGCCGCCTTCCTTTCAAGTCTTTTTTTCAAATCGAATCCATGTTACAAATCTGTTGCTCTACGATTCTCGCATTAACCTGTAAGGTAATTGTTAGCCCCAAAAACATGTGTGACCAAAGACGACTTAGACTTACATGGCGTGTTCCCAGATCTGCGACTCTCCGCACACCTAACAAGCTCATGCAAGTTCTCGTTTCCTGTGCTAGAACTTTTGAAAAAGAAAAAAGAAAAATCAGCGCCAATACACAAAATCTACAATAGTCCCGGATATGAAGCACTTACTCTGGAGTGTCCTCTCAACCCCAGCGATACCACCGGCACCAAGACCCCAGAACGCTGGTCGCCCAATACCTACTGCCCTCGCACCCAGACACAGCGCTTTCACAACATCTGTTCCCCGTCGAATACCCCCATCGACCATGATGTCCACCTTCTCCAGAACCTCTGGGCAGTATTTGCGAATTTCGAGTAAGGTGTGAATAGCTGGCGGCGCAGTATCAAGAACACGTCCCCCGTGGTTCGACAGGATAATGCCTTTTACGTGAGCATATGTCGCAGCGACTTGAGCATCCTCGTAAGCCTGAATGCCTTTTATGATTATCGGTAGCGAGGTGTGTTCCGCGAGCCATTGTAGCGTAGTCTCCCATTCGGCATCAGAAGCCGGTCCGGAGACCGATGCGATGGCCACTTTAACGTCTGTGCCTGGTTGAGATGGCTCTTCTGGTTGAGTTGGAACTTCGGTCTGCGCATCGTCGTATAGTTTGAATCCTCTTGGCCCGAGCTCGTGCTTTCCTTGGACGGGCTCGTCGACGGTGAGGACAATGCACTTAATCGTGGACAGCTTATTGATTCTCGCCAGGACAGCCTCGCTCTCAGTGCGATCCGTCTGGACATAGAGCTGGAACCCAAAAACATGCTCAGGCGCGGCTCCCGCGACAATCTCCTCGGGAGTCATCGACGCATTATTTGAGATGATATGCATGGCACCGAACACTCCACACGCGGCTGAAATGCCAGCTTCGCCTGTTGGGTGCGCTAACCGGGCCATTGCCATAGGCGATACGAAAATAGGTAGACCGACTCTCTGGCCGATGATTGTCGTCGACAGGTCACATTCTTTAACGTTGACGAGGACGCGTGGCCGGAGAAGGATTGAGCGGTAGACCTCTTGGTCCATCCCTTTGGAGATCAGGTCTCCGGCAGCCGCATAGTTGAAGGACCATGCTTTTTTGCTTATTTGTTTTGTGGCGAGGGATTCGAACTGGCTGAGGCTTTGGATTGATTCCATTGAGAGTGCCTCTTCGTTTTGGGACTTGTTGGCCCTGGTAGGGTGTTCATCTGCGTTAGATATTCCGGTCATTGTAAACGATAGTAGAAGTAAGGTATTGTCGCTCGCCACCCTCGAGAATATAAGAGTGTTCGGTTAATGGGAATAAACGAGGGGTCCAGTCGGCTGTAGTCGGCATACTGTAGATTCCCGATTTGGAAACTTGTCCGGCTTTAGATGGTGACCCCAAACCACGCCACGTCGTCACATTGGGAAACTAGGTTTTCGATATATTTCCAGATCTGGCAAAGCTAAATACAAGATACATATAGAGCCATACAAACATGAACAAGCTTAAGTATGCAGCGACTGATACAATGTCAGAAAAGTGCAAGAAATCAAGCCAGGCTTTCAGCGTCGAGGCTGTAGGTCTCCGCTTCGGAAACGGTCCCAGAAGACGCAGTGACTAAGGTTTGGAAGTACCCCCACACCCCCACGTTTTTACATCCCCACGCCCCCACTCGTGTCTGTACTGGTGCGCGAAAAAGCAGGTAAGATACCGAATTATGTAGAAGCAAATAAACCTCCATCTACCAGTGTCGACGATTTGGGGAGCATTGTCAAAAACATTCATGAGTATTTGCTCAATGCACTTTTATTTGACGGATAAACACAAGACTTAAGAGTGAATAACTATCTACAAGGGTCGATAATCTTTTGGGGAATTTCAAAAAGGCAATCCGAAGCACTATGAAGGGTAAAGGACTATGCTCATATGAGCTGATTTTCATATTTGCTTAGAATTCCGCATGCCTTAATATCGGGAGCAGAGCATCTTGGATATTACAGAGAGGGAGGGAGGTGTTCATTCGAGTCGATGTCTCTATACTAGCAAGATGATTGACACGAGGATTTTTGGGACAACGATGGGAACATAGATGCTCTCTTTCTGCTTCCTGAATAATTAACTTTAGTCGCTGATGAGGTTGTAAGTTAGTGATGATGTGGATATCGTTTGTCTCTCGATGATGACCGAGGCAAGACGGTGACGACCGATAACTTTGATCTTCTCTATGATGGAATACAATATCAAGATGAGAGGAGGAAAGGAAGAGAAACAGAGAAACACAAGACAATTTATTTAAAGCTTGGAAGTGCGGAATGGGAGATACATATTGTAGTGGGGAAATAGGCTCCCCACTACGCATTTGCCCTTGCCTCTTCTTTTTCTCTATGTTGTTATGTAAGCATTGAGGTTATGAGGTTACAGGTAGCAGATAGATACAGATAGAGAATACACATTCCGACACCTCTCTGAATCCACTTCCAGGGCAGTGCACCTGGGTTCCTTTGTACGCAAGGCCGGGTATGAAGCTGAGCTACGAGTGCTGAATCGACCCGTATGCCGTAGAGCATAGAGCCTTGAGCGTTCCCCTCTTCAATATGTAACCTTGAGAGTGTATCACAGAAACGGAATGAATCCTCATCTTTGTTCCTTGTCTAAATACGCAGACCAAACTCTCGCTGTATAAATTGCTCAGCTGTCCACCTATAAATAAACATAACTGATTTCAACGCACACACTCGGCAGTTACCTCTTTAAGTGCACCTCTCCCTTCTCATCTCGACGCATACACCTTCTGGTGCCAGCAAATTCCGTCCCTCGCCGGTAGTAAAAGGACATCCGCAACTTCAAGTGGCTTCGGTTCCCCCATGCGGCACAAACGAGCTTTTATACTACCCACACCGACCGAGACCAGCTTTGGTATAGTCCCTCGATCTCTTGCCCCTTCCAGCAACTAAGATTCCACTTCATGGCCCGCGAGGAGAGGAGAACATATGAGGGGGAGGAGAAAACGGGTTCTTCATCCGTCATGTTTTTACTTCCATGCTTATATTATCTGCAACTATCCAATCTCAATTCACAGGTTCATCATGAACCTTGACATGACTCTGTACGTAAGCAATCCTTATGTTTCAGTTCCCGCTCAGTTTCACCTCAGTTCCCTCTCAGTCCAATCTCACTGTCTGCAAGGGTGTATCCAGAGAAGCCAATCGGTGGTTATACGAACTCAAGCACTCTCAGATTGCTACGAAATCATCTTGATTGTTGAGTTTACATGACTATATCGGCGATACATATACGTATGTGGGGGTTTGTATAATGATGGGAGTTTTGGGCCGCTGTTTGTATTTACAAATGGCCGGGCTGACTATTTACAGGTGGAGGCTAGCCTCCCTCCCAGCCTATATTCATGTCATAATTGTAAGTGGAAGCCCGTCCCCCTCCCTCCCCACCCATAATCATATCATAATTAATTATAATTGGGGCCCAGCCCCCTTCTCCAAGACAGAACCCCTCCCGGATCAACTATTTAATGGCAGCGGAGTCCGGCCTGCGACTGGAGTCACGAGAACTATACCACAAAATCAACGGTCAGAATGTTGTTGATACAAATACAATATGGAAACCAAGTGACATACCGCAGGACCTCCACACGGCCCCACCAAAAGCCAAAGGTGAACAGGTCTCTTATAAAAAGGAACAAAAGGACAACGCCGCCGATTTTGAGGGCAGTCTCGGCGCCCTTCTCAACAGCGAGGCGAAGGAGTTTCCCAACGACGGAGTCCTCGTTAGCCCGGGGGCTGAGGGGAACTGGGGCTAAAAGAAAAACGTGTCAGAAAGAAGTCTGGAAAGACACCAAGAAATACACCAGACTTACCAGCCAGGGAACAACAGGCACAAAAGAAAATATAAAAAACGTTTAAAACAGTCATTTTGTCGATAGTACTAATGTTTTCAAATGATGCGAACGTGAAGTTCTTACGTGGACTATGAAACCATTTTGTACATTACGGGGGGGCAATAGCTTACAAGGAAGGTACGAGATTATAATTGTTCGTAGGGAAGGTATTAGCCTACAATGTGATGTAAGAGTTTAATCGGGGAGGTACATTCATCAAGATGCAGCAATAGTATGGAGAGCAAGGTACAGCAATATCCATAGATCGAAGTCAGTCAGCGAGTCTTATCACTCTTCTTTGTAGAAGCCTTGTCTTTTGCAATTTGCCCATAGCTTGGTGGTATATCGATCAGATCAAACGGGCTCTCATAGCTGTCACCGACAAGCCCCCATATTGCAACTCGCATAATCCGGTGCTTAGGAAGACAACTTATTTCCTCGCGAAATTGTTCTTTCAACCCTTTTATCTCCTCTTCGCAAATTTCAAATCCTCGAGCTCTCCGACAACATCCACATTCAAAGGTACAATGTCCAACTCCAAGCCCACGTATAGGATCAATCTTGCGGTCAATACAACAACCACATCCACGAGCACAACATCCTTGTCGGCTAGCACAATCTTCAACAAGTACGCGGTGCATATACCATTTAGGATAAGACCGCCATAGATCGAACGCTCTTCTTTGATACCCATCTTCTAGACAGGAATAATAATGCCACCACTTTTGCTCTAAAAGCCAGTATTTGGCATTTAAAATATCAAGTCTCCCTTTAGGATCTTTATTCAAGGCAAGTCCGTCTTTGATAGATATCTCTTCTTGGACAACTTCCCGGATATCTTCCTCTATAAAGAGAAGCTTATGGGAAATAAAAGGAGGCCCAAGGTGGTCTCTTTTGACTTGGGCAGAGTATTGACACAAGCGGTATCTTTGAAGAATATTTATGTCGCCAGATCGTTCAAGACCGACTTCCCAATAGTTTTTGTCACCCGTTAGTATCCCGAGTGCTTTTCTGTGTGCTTGATCACGGCTCGGTTTCTTTTTACGACGGGGGAAAGAAAGCGGCATCTCGGATGTTTGAACGTGTCAACTGAATTTGAGGATGAAGAATGTTTCTCGAGGGTTTGTGCTTGGTCTAATAAAATCCATCAAAAGTGATGTCAACTTACACCTCCGACACCAGAAAGATCCGGCGATGACCTAACCATTTCGTGTTGGAACCTTGCTTGATTAGATTCGATCCCAAAGTAAATCCACTCTGGCTAGTAGTCACATATAAGAACCCAATTTCTATACATAGACCAAGCCTTCCTATCAATTTGTCTATATGACCACAATATCCTAAATATGCCGAGTTTGTGATTGGGTATATTCATTTGGAAGTAGATCGAAAGGATATTGGTCTCTTTAAAAGTATTGTAATTTTCGTCTTCATCTTAAAGAATGCCCTCCTTCTCATAAACTCCGACCGGCATTGTTTCGTGAGATGGTATAAACTCTTGGCTATATCTATGGTAGATGTGGGCACGTTGCAGACATCGCTAGCCGAAGTTAACTTCGCTATTCCGATCTAGAGTACTATTGTTGAATTACTTGTCTCCAGGATTAAATTTAGGGCTATACAAGTATTGAGTCAGCATATCTGAGGTTATCGAAGCGAATGGCCTGTCCCGGTCAAGAATACATTCATTGTCGGAAGCTTGGGGGATTCGTTCGAGAAGTTTCAAACTAATTTTGGTAAATGACATTGCTTTGGTTGAGTACGACATGGCCTTTAAAAAGAAATTATTGACAAGACTGCGGCAGTACCTATGGAGGTGGTGGTCGAGAGTGGTAACCACCATATGGAATCGCGTGGATTCCCCTTCGTACATGAATTGAAATATACTACTAAGACCCGAACGTAAAACCATATATTTTACATAATCTTGTACAACGTCCATTAACTAACTATTTAGGATTGAAAATGAGAGAAATGCTGTGGTTCAATGAACTATTGGGGAACTTGGATCTCATGTCATAAGGCGTGATACAGAGTGTGTAAGTAGAATCGGCTCCATCATAGATAGCTCAAAATTGTATCACAGAAACGGAATCAATCCGCATGTGTATTCCTCATCCAAATATAGAAAACGCTCTCTCTCCCTCTCCCTCTCTCTCCATAAGAATTGCTCGGTTGCCCATGTGTGAATACAGAGAAAACTCGATGCAAGCCTTACAATGAACCATAAAATAGTATTACCTCCATTTGCTCAATCCCATGCTGTTGCCAGCAGGTTGTGTGGTTCGATGCCTCCTCATTGGGGGTGATCAGTTGGAAACCAATACCGGCGGAAAGCTCTGTATCTTCAATTAGCTTTGCATGTTCAAGATCAAATTTAGACAATCAAATAACGTTACCCGTAGGGTTTTCCTCGCAAGGAATATAGCGATTGGTTTCACAATCTCATCCATGACCAAGAGAGAGAAAGAGAGAAAAAAGAGAGAGCGACGGGGGATCTCGGGGATTAAATAGTAGAGCATCCCACGTAGCAAACAAACTCTTTCCCGATTAGGACTAGTAGGAATATGTATACCAAAGAAACAAAGAAAGGAAGTATGTGATATGTGACAAAGCATATGATCACGTAGATCGTGGCAGAAGTCACCGTATTCGCGACCGACCACTTTTGTTTCATTGTAGGTAGAGCCATGTGGACTCCCTTATTCATATTTTGAAAAGAAGAATTTGAACTATTGTCGCACTAAGAAAGAAGTGCAGATTTTAAATGCATTCCATCAATGATTCATCCAACTGAATAGGATACTATGACAATGCACTATCAAAGAATATCTGCAGTTTCTGTGGCAACTCTTGGATACACTAAAGCTTTGTCTAGTAACAAATAAGTTGCTAGACTGAGACTGACGCTAATCTGGCCTTTCTATATGAGGACGTCCGCCCATCCCTGATCCAGCCAATTTCTTAACCCACACCCAACCCCGGACCCATGCCGCCTGAAAGCCCCAACGCCGCATACAAAGCTAACAGCTCCTTATAATTCGCAATTTATCAGGATAGCCAGACCGATGATATGCATATGAGAACATCCCTGGTCTTCCTATAGCTTCCACCGCTCGTGCTTCCTAATAATTTTGCCAAATTTGTAGATAAATAAAGGAACTGGCACAAGTGCTAAAGCTATCAACCCCAAAACAGTATTTCCCCAGCCAATCCCCAAGGCGTGGTACATTTGGGGCCCAGCTAAGGGAAGAAATGCAGCAACTACACTTCGCATTACTGAGAAAGCAGCGAGTGCACTAGCAGCGCACTGAGGGTACGCATCGACAATAAATGCCTGAGTCGGCAGCCAGATGCACTCAAATCCGATGCCAAATATCACAAGCCCAAGGACTGGTACGATCCAATGGCTGCCTTTCTCGCTACTCCAGCCGAACCAAAAGAAGGCAATCGGTAGCAGATAAGCGAAATAAATGCATACAGGTAGTCGCATCTCAGGTTCGTATACTCCACCATTCGCCTCAGTCATACAGGCTATAGTCTTGTCAGACATGGTCAAAAAGATGACCAGGCCGATGATATATCCAATCAAAAGTGCCAGGTATACGATGCCTGTAATGCCACTAGACCAACCATAGTGATCCTGGAAGACTATGGGGATGGTGTTGAATAGAAGATAGAGACACCCATATGCAAATGCGATATAAAGAGATATGCCAAACACGATAGCAGAACCAAAAAGCAGTCTTAGAGGTCTAGTTAAACCTCCAAGAATTATATCCTCTTTCGACAAGCGAGGAATACTTGGATCGGCGAAACAACTCTGAAGCTCGGGTCGGCCAAGCTGCTGGCGTGTTCTGGCTGTCTTCCGTTCGATCAAGACCCGGTGATTGGTTTCGCAGTTGAAAATAGCCATTAATACCACTATGAGAAAGGCAGGAATCAGAGTGATCCAATTAGCCCACCGCCACCCTATCGACTCAGCAACAAATCCACCAATGACAGGTGCACAAGAAGGCCCTAGGATCGGCCCAAGTGACCAGATGCCCAAAGCTCGGCCACGCTCATTAATAGGGAAAAGATCTGCTATCGTGGCCCCTCCAATGGTTTGAGAGGCAGAACCGCCGACGCCGCACAGAAAGCGAAAGAGAATGAGTGTGTTCAATGAAGGAGCAAGCGCACAACCAATCAGCCACACACAGAAAAAGGTACTGGCAACAGTTATGATGATGTAGCGGCCATATATCTCGGACAAGGGTGATAGAAATAGAGGTCCCACCGCATAACCTAACAAAAAAATGCTCACTGGAAGAGCACTCTTTGTCAGATCGTTGACCCCGAAGTCCTTCTGAATAAAAGATGTGGCGGGGGCTATGATGGATGAGGCAAACGGAGTCATAAACCCAATGGCCGATAGTATGCTTGTGATCAGCCACTTCCTTGCAGACGTGAAGTTCAAGGGGTTCTCCGGGTCACGCTCGCCATCCCAGCCAATAAGACCATTCTCGAGATCCGTGAGATTCTGCATCACCGGAGGTTGCTCCGCCACATTACGACTAGCAGGATTTTCAACGTCGTTGCTTTGATCGCGGCCAATCGATATATCGCAGAGCTCAACTTTTTGAATCTCATTTCCCTTCTCGAGTTGTATCGTCAGCAATATCAGAGAGACCTAGTAGATCTTTTCTCACATTTTGAATTTGGATTTGACAGTTGCAACCGTCTTGTGAGATACACTCGGCATCGTCCTCTGAGTCAGTCGGTCTGTGCAACTGCTGTGTGTCGGGCGATTCTGCCGCCTGGTAGACGACCCCTTCTGTGACAGCATCTAGTCTGGAGTTCGAGCCAGGATAGCATGTATGGTTGCTAGAGGGCATGTCGTCTTGTCGTTCTGTCTCCGTCTGAGCAGAAGCCGGCCTCATTGACTAAGGAGCTTCCGATACCAATCAATGCAAAAGCTGTTGAGTTGGAGAGCTGGAGAGATAACAAGAAGAGGTAGCAAGTAACCTGGGAAAGCCTGCCGTGACATGGTGGGAGCGCACACCTTTGACACGCCTTTTGATACGCCTTTTGATACGCCTTTTGATACGCCTTTTGACAACCCGCCGACCCACATATTGTCAAGGGAAAGGCAGAACGCGGTATCCAGTGTGACCTACAGTACATATTTCTGGAGGTAATTTACCGCTCTGTGCGTTGAGAAACCCAGGGTATGGCACGTATGGACTAGAGGATGCGCTCTCAAACAACCATCCCCCAGGTTGGCATATAATGTCGAAGTACTGTATGTGGAGTAGTAACTTACCGCCAAGAACGGGCTTATCATCAAATGCCAACCTTTTTTTTTTTTGGTAAGCTGTCGAATACTAAGTCCGAATACAAGGTAGCCAGGTAATATACCGGAAACATCATGTGACAGTCGGTACCAGGCATACCATACAAAAGTGCATATTACAGTTAGTCATCATTGTCCGCACAGATTGTTGAAATAGCGCGTTTTGTCATTTTAGTTAGAGTCTTCAACATTGGTCATCTATACCATACATTGTTCGTATACCAGCTTTCTGTCACATAGCTTCTCAACTTCCCACTAACATTTGATCATCGGTCATTTACTAATTGTATCCACAAATTTTACTCATGTAGTGGCCTTTGGCAGTTACAGGACGCGCCAAGAACATGTTTGCAGACAGC